GGCTTCGCTTAGCCCTCCTATGCAGGGAGTACCTGAGGGAAGGGGGCGGGTGACTGGCGGGCAGCCTGAGGGGTGCTGCTCTGTGGCTCAGGGGCCCCACAGGCAAAGCAGTCTCTGGCAGGGGATGCCTGAGATGACGGGCGTCCAGAGCACTGGGGGCTCACTCCACTGCGTCCTGAGCCCTAGATGTGGAGCCAGACAGCTGGGGAGAGGCAACGCTCTGCCCCAACTTCCAGACCCCTGAAGTTACCCAGCTTTGGCTTCGGGCTTTGAGACTCAGATGGGAGGGTGCGCTGCCCCCACCCCCCACCAGAAATCCAGCCAGAAAAACAGAGGGTCCCCCTTTCCTAAAACCTCCACCTCTCATCTAGGATGGGGACCCTGTTAGGTACAGCAGTATGGTGCCCCCCAGGCGCCCCCCGGTCCCTGGCCCTCTCCTATAGCAGCCCCCCCTTCCCACTACGCTGCTCCAGGGGGTCTCCGCCAGGACGAGGGGCCCACTACAATGAAAGTGAGGATTCTGTGGTGCTGGTGGCCAGTGTTCCCCACGGCAGTAAATCCTGCCCTGACCTGCTGCGTCCACCTGGGCAAGATGCCTGACTGGGCCTCTCCTCTCACAGTCCGCCCGCCCCACTGCCTAGTGTCCCGGCGAGGGGCGGGGCTGTTCAGCCAGCTCGGCCCAGTTCCAAGGCCTTTGCACTCTCCGTTCCCTCCGCCCGGAACACCCTTCCTGCATAGCACCCTGAGACGGGCTCCTTTTGGTCCCTCTCTGACCACCCCCAGCTAAGGACAACCTCACCACCTCACCAGTGTCTTTCATGTCACCTTGGTTTTCTCTCTCGAGCACAGTTCATGTCTATTTACATGTTTGTTCATTAAAAGATTAAAAAAAAACCTGATTGGTTTTAGAGAGAGGAACAGGGGTGGGGGGGAGAGAGAGAGAGAAGGAAACATCAACTTGCCACTCCATCCATCGCTGCACTCACTGGCTGACTCCTGTATGTGCCCTGACCAGGAATCGAACCCATAACTTTGGCATACAGGGACAGTGTTACAACCAACTCTGCTACCTGGCCAGGGCTCATTTTCTCTTTAACTGCCTGTTTTACTCTTTCTCCCTCCAGACCAGAGTGAGCTCCAGGAAGGCAGGGACCTTGCTGGCTGACTGCAACCCGACCCCTGGGCTCGGGACCTTGCCAGCACAGAGAGACAGAGACGTGAGTGCGCGCAGACGAGCCCCGACTCTTGACTGGAGACTGATGGTGGGGGGCTTCTCTCCCAACCTCCCTCCCACAGCCTCACCTGATGGGGTGGGGAGGGGCCTGCCCGGAACGGCATCCAGGAAGGGGCCACATATTTAGGGAGTCCTGCTGTTTCCAGGCTGGGTGCTGACCCAGGGGTGGCACCAGGATATGTCACAGCCCTCGAGGAGCCCATGTCCCACCAGACAACACATGTGATGGAGACATGGGATTTAGAAGTTGCTGAGTGCCATGGGCAAAGGTGGAAGGGGGTAAAAGGGATGTGGTGCCCCGGGCAGGAGGGATGGCGTGTCAACGAGGCTTCAGGGAGGCCTCGATGAGGTGACATTTGAGCTGAGAACTGAAGGAGGTGAGAGAGTGAGCTGTGGGAGCTTCTGGGAAGAGCAGTCCAGGCAGAGGGAACACACATGCAAAGGCTCTGGGGCAAGACAGTGTGGGGTGTGTTGGAGCAACAGCAGGAAGGCCTGTGTAGCTGGAGCAGTGATGAGGGGGAGAGGAGGTGAGGACAGGGAGGGGCCTGGGGTACATAGAGAATGGCTGTGTGGGCCACGAGAGGACTTGAGCTTTTTATTCCAGAAAGGTGGGAGCCCTGGAGGGTGGGGGTAGAGAGGGCAGGACCTACTCGAATGCTCAGTGGCGCCCCGGTGGCTGCAGCAGGGAGAAGAGCCTGTTGTTGGGGATGAGCATAAACTCAGGGACATCGAGGAGGAGGCTGGCGAAGCAACCCAGACGGAGACTGCCTGAACTAAGGACGGAGCAGTGAGGGTGGTAAGAAGTGGGGGGATCTGGATGCAAACATAATATTTTCCATGGAGGAGAAATTTTCCATGGGGACCAAGAGTGACCAACCAGAGGTAGGGGGTCTGACTCGTACTCACAGGCGGCCTCTGGTGGCTGCTGTGGGGAGAACAAACCGGGGAGCGGTGGGAGCCAGGACCAGGGTGGAGGTGAGTGCGCAGGTCCATGCAGGTGAGGAGGGACTGGGCCTGGGGCCTTTGAGCGAGCCATGGATGGGGGGGAGGGGCGGGAGAAGTGGGCAGGAGGGCTCACAAGGGGGTGAGAGAGCAAAAGGACCCAGGCTCCTGGGCCCAGACAGCAGGGGCAAACCCCAGCCCCAAGGGGCCTTCTCCATAGCCTTGTGCATCCCCGCTGCTTCCACGGGCACCCCCGCTCACATCCACCACCACTTCATAAAGACACTTATGGGGGTGTAATTTTGCTTTTGAGATCTGCTTGTCCCGCAGGGTTACTTTTGTTCCAGTCACCGTGACCACTCCACTTGGAAGGTCCTCAGAGACAACTTAGTGTTGCGCCCTAACAGTAGCTAATAATAACAAAAGAACAACATTGAGCGCTCGCTGTAAGGCCAGCCCTCTGAAGTCACCCCTCTGGGCCTCAGTTTCCAGTCTGTAAAACAGGACTAATATGAATAGTGGCAGGTGGGAAAGGTTCCAGGGTTTTTCTCCTTTTGTCTTGACTCTGAACACTTTCATTTTCTTGGGTTACAGAGAGCTCTGAGACCCCCTGGCCACAGTCCTTGTAGGCTTGTCCCTCCCCTGACCTGGGAAGCATCTCAGGTCTGGGGTCCTCAGGGAGCACCTGCCTTGGTGGGAATGTGACGCCCTCTTTCACGCCCCTGCTGTGCTCTCCACCCTACTGCCCCCCAAGCCAGGCCTGTGATCCTACCAGGTCCTCTGCCCCATGCCCTCCCCCCTCATACAAATCTGGAAATATGCCTCTGCCCTCACCCGAGGCTAGGGGGTGGGGCTCTGTAACGGTCCTCCACTGTCCCAAGCAGGGGCTGCCAGGGCAGGAGGTAGGGTCCCAGGCAGAGGGGTGGGAGGTGGATGCTGTGGACACGGGCCTGCGTGTGGGGTGGGATGATGTCAGCCACTCACAGCCTAGTAAATGTTCATGGGCAAGGGGCCCCGAGTTTTGGGGCTCCCTGGAGCCCAGCAGGCAGCTGCTCCCTCCTGCCCCATTCTGGGGGGCCTGGCAGGTCGGTTTCATCACTGGCAGTCGGCCCGCCCGGTGGGGGCTGGGTGGGTGGTGAGCACAGCCCCTGGTCTGAGCTATTTAGAGGGGAAACCAAGGCTGGGAGGTAGGTAGAGGATGGCTGGCTGCAAACCTTCTCTCCCCTCCCCCCTGGCCCAGGGTTCGGGCTTCATGGAGAGGTCGCGAAGAGGTCACGGGGAAGGCTAAGGATGTGCAGGAGAGGGAGGCACAGGCAGATTTGGTTCTGACTGCAGCTCTCGGACCAAGTGACCAAGCACAGGTCCTTGGACAGGTCCTGGCCCATAGTACCTATCCTTCGAATTTGTTGCCTCTGCTGCCTTACACAGAGTGAATGGGAAGAGGAAGAGGAAGGAGGAAGCAGACAGGGAAGCAGGAACAGAATGTGGCTCCTGCTTGGACACTGCAGGGCTGCGGACTTGGGGATGGCCAGCTGTCCGGTTGAGTGTGGTGGGCTCTGCCCCCTGCCGGCCACCGCAGGAACAGACCAGGCTGGTGCAGGAGCAGGGCTGCCCAGCCCCCAGAGGGTGTGGGAAGGGCGCTCACCCCCAGGGTACAGTTGTTTCCCTCCTCACCGAACATCACCGAGGGACCCCGTCACTCCCACTCGCCAGGTGGGAAAACTGAGGGCAGAGCCCAGAGAGAACCAAGTGCTAGGACCAGAAGGCAGTGCTGGGAGCCCAGCACCCTCTCAGGGCTCAGCCAGGCTCCTGGGCCCTCCCCTCCCAGCTCCTGGCAGTGGGTGGGCAGGGAGGAAGCATGTCTCCATCCTCTCTCAGAGAACCCCAGGTCCAGGAGAGACCTGGGTGGCTACACAGGGGCAGTGAACGATCAGCAGTGAGCGCCAGCGGCTGACGACAGCAGTGCCAGGGCGCTGTGCTCTGCGGAGGTTTAATTTTAGCCGATGAACACCTGTCTGAGTTATTACCTGGAGTGGGCTGAAGAGGAAAGCAAGGGTTCAAGTCTGGCTTTCAACCATGTCTAGGCCCCAGAGGTGGGGGTGAAAGAGGAAAGGACAGGAAGGACGAGGTGAGGAGGGGGTGGGGCGTGACGGGCCCCCCAGGGCCACCTGCAGAGCCCAGACCCTGCCATGGCACAGCCCCGCTCCCCAGGGTGGGGCCCGGAGAGCTTTAATTTATGACCATCTCAGCGTGCTGGAGCAAGCCAGGCCTTCCTCTCCAGCTGCCAGAAAGCTCTGGGCCAGTTCCGTGGAAAGCCTGGGGGCTGAGCAGGCCAGCATTCTGGGGCTGCTTAAATCACTGTGCCTGACAGGAGGCGGCTGCTGAGGATGTCGAGTCTCCTCTTGTTGCTGCCATGGGCCTCTGCCCTTCAGGCTCTGGGTGGCCTGTCACCCACCTGTCAGATGGGGACAAAGCTCTGGGGCCAGACCATCTGGGACGCTGTGCTCCAATGCAGGGGAATTTGGAGTTGGGCAGTGAGTGGGCCCTGGGTGTGTATTCCACGTGCTGTTGGCGTTGGAGGAAGGCCCAGACAGGGGCGCCCTGTGGCCAGCACGGTCCCAGCTCCCGCCTGCAGGATCCTGCCCCGCAACGCCCTCTCCCTGCTTCAGGACACACCCAGCTGATGTCTGTGGCTCAGTGGGGGAACAAGATGCCTAATCTGCTCCCTGCCTCACTTCCTCCCGAATCCACCGCCAGTTTCCCTGCGGAGCCGGCCTGTCAGTCACCCTGGAGAGCAGGGGAAGAGACAAGGGAGACACTCGCATGAACAGACACAGGATTTAATTTAAGGGGTATTTCCACCTGCCCAAGATTGAGGGAGGCGGTGGGGCTCACACCTTGGGCTCTGCGAACAACTTCCAGCCCTCCAGGTGGCCCATCTTGACCAGGGCTGCCGTTATGCCCATGTACGCGCAGGCTGTAGCTCCAATTCCGTAGCTGTGAGCTGTGAGGGCGGAGAGGGCAAGGTCAGGCACTGTGGGGCCCTTGCCCACTCCTCCCTGGAGAGATTAAGTCACTTGACCCTCTGACTTTGAAGGTTCGATTGGAAACAGGCAGAGAGAGGCAGGAACACAGGCTGTCAGGACCGGAAGCAGGGGCAGGGAGACGTTCAAGCTGCTGAACAGATGCCATGTTAGTGGGTCTCAGCCTGTGCCCTGGCCATAGGCACTGGGCCTTGTGTCTGCCCTGTGGTTTGTGAACCAAGGAGCAGACTGCTCCTGGTCCCAGAAAGCTGCTATCAAGGACAGGGTTCTCCTTACTGTATAAGGGGCTCATACTTCTTCACAGGCTTGGGGATGTATGTTAAACCCAGACCTCGCCCAAGGTCTCAAAGCAAAGGAAGGATGGCGTGGGCTGCCCACTCTGTGGTGCCCTCCTTCCCTGCCTTCCACTGAGCTGGGTCAGGGCAGCTCATCTGCCTGTGGCCTCTGAGACTGTGGGAGGCAGGAAGAACAGGTGGCTCCACCATGCCAGGCTGGCCTGGGCCAGCACACTGCCACCAGGGAGCCATGCTCTGCTGGGTCCCAGGTGACCTCTGGCCATCTCAGTCCCCTCTCTGAGCCTTAGTCCCTGCATCTGTATGTGGGGACAATGAGAGAAGCCCCACCAGGCTGTGTGTTCAGTCAACCAGGGCCGGGGGCACTGGGGAGAGGGAGGGCAGTGCAAGAACCAGCACCTTTCTGTGCTCATGGGTTGGTGGCAGAAACTGGCAGTTCCCTCAAATTCTCTGACAAAGTGCAGCAGAGAAAGGAGGGGGATATGGGGTGAGAGCAGGGTTTCTAGATCGTATGCAGAGAAGTTGGTGAGAAAGAGAACTGTATTGGCATCTGGCGGAAGGACATTCAAGCAGAGGGAACAGCTTGTGCAAAGGCCCTGGGGCACGACGGCACCTGCTGTGTTGGAGGAGCCGGCGGAGGCCAGTGTGGCTTCAGCAGACTTAACAAGGGAGAGAAAGGGGAAGGGGGAGGGCTTGGTGAGGTGAGTGTGCAGTGGGTGTGTAAGCAGCAGCAGCTGCTACTGTTACTGGCTGGTGGCAGAGTTTTGAAAGCACTGGGAGCTTTCATCTGCTGAAGCAGGTGCCCTCCTCACCCACCACTTCCTGGCTCCTGGTCCACAACAAAACAGGGAATGAGGAGGGTCAATGGAGGGCAGGGTTGGGGAGTTCACTCACTGCGTGCTCCTAGGGTCAGACCTGCGGCACAGCCTCCAGTGAAGTAGTTCAGGGGGTCATCGGGCTTTTCACGGACCTGGGCACTGACGCAGGACGCAACGCCAAACACGGCACCGATGGCAGCTATGGGACAGATGGGATGGGGTGGGCACTGGGTCAGGGGCCCAGAGAGGCAGGACAGCCAGGCCAGTGCAAGGAAGGATCCTGAGGAGAAGCAAGATGCCCCTCAGGCTCACTCACCTGCAGTAAACGTGTACCGTCCAGTCCTGGCCACTCCTTCCAAGAAGGAGTCAGGAGGATTGAGTGCAACACTATAGGCGGAGGTGACGAGGCCTATGGAATGAGAGGGTACCAGGAGGCTCAGACTTGGGCCTCTGCACAGAGTGGCCCTGGCTGGGGAGAGGGCCCCTTTGTCATCTCACGAACCCTCTCTCCTTTGGTCCCCATTGAGCCCTGCAAGGCAGCTCAGCTGGGATGGGAACTTGGGTCCGCTGCTGCAGGGTCTGGGCTCTCGCTCCACCCCAGCCCCAGGCTTTGCTCCTAAGGCCTGGCCAAGCCAGCTCTGGCAGAAGGCCTGCCTAGGTCCCTGTCACCCTCATGGGCCCACCACAGGGCACCGGCCCAGCATGCAGAGGACATGAGGATGGGGCTGGGATCTCCACAGCCAGGCTGCCCCTGGGCTGAGAGCAGGCACAGCTAACTACATCCCCAGAGCCCCTGGCACCCAGGCTCTGCTTCCATAAAAGGCTTTGTTCCCCAGTGGGCCTGGGGTTCCCTGGCCTAATCCTCCTTGGCAAAGGTGGCTCCTGAAACTGCTAACCCCTCTTCGTCACCACCCACTGCCCCCTCCCCACTGGCAGCTCTGGCCTGGGCCTGTCCGTCACACTGGGCTGGCTGCCCACACCCACTTAGCCTCGACACTGCTTAACCTTTCCATCTCTGCCACTGGCCTGGTCACCCTGACCCTGACTTTTGTCCATGAGGGGCCCGAATAGGGGCTAGGCCGGAAGCCGAGTGCCAGTGGGTGGCAAGTACCAACATGCTGTTCTGGAGCATCCGGAGTGAGCACTGGCATGGGCCAACATTCAGGTGTGGGGTGAGGCTCGGGCTGGGGCAGGGCCTTGGGCAGCCTCTCCCACCAGACCCTCCTCGGGGAACGGACAGACGAGGGCCTACCTGGCTGGCTGCTTGTCACCAGAACAGCCTAACACGGGGCCCTCACCCCCCAGCTGACCCTGCTCAGGGCAACAAGACACCTCTCCTCTCCCTACTGACCCCCAGGGTTGCCTAGTTGCCAGCAGGGACTGCTTGGGCCAGCCCATTCCAACCCAGGCAAAACAGAATTGTCACCCGCCAGGTGGCATGCATAGCCACTGCCCCACTCACCCTCCTCAGGACCCAAGGGGCTTAGCACCCTCGTATCTGTTGCTTCATGGGAGGGGAGCAGCCTCAGAGGGGCTGAGTGATCTGCCTGAGGTCACCAAGTACAGCAGTCTGGACGCCAGGTGGGTCTCTAGGGCCATGGCTTGCCCCTCATTGCAGTCCCGGGGGGAGCGGGTTTCACCCTAGTCCCCAAGCCTCCAGCTTCTCAGGGCCCACCCAGGGGCCTTCCAGGCTGAGTGGTGCCTCCCACCCCAGCCTGGGCTCAGACTCAGCTCACTGGAGTTGCTGTGGGGGACTTTTCACTCTGGACTGTGGGGTTAATCTTCAGAGCAACCATAGGAAGGGCCTGGACTGCCACCTCACTTCCAGATTGGTAAACCACAGCCCCGGGGACAAAGGGAAAAGAGCCACATATAAAGAGGGCCCTGGTACACCTTCAATTCTCATGTTACACATTACACTGTCCGCTACAAAAATAAAGAAGGCTCTCATGTGCTTGGCGCCTGTTCACAGACGCCCCAAATCTCATTTTTCCCAGTCGGTCTCATGACAAACCTGTGTCCCCATCTGGGCTCAGAGAGCCTAGAGGCTGGGGGGGGGGGGCAAACTGCTGCAGCTCCTGCCTGGGGCCTAATGAGTCTTGATCTCAGGAGCTGGGCCAGGAACAAGGGTCTTAGGACCCCCTGAAGGGGAACCACCGAGTCAGTGATGTCCTCAAACTCAGTCACGCAGTGAGCCCTGGAGGGCACCCTGTCAAGCCCATCCCATATGCCTGTGGTCCTGGCTGTGCTGGGCAGAGAGTGCCCCTACCATCCTACGGGCCCTTGAACTTGGAGCGAATGACCCAACAGTCCCCTGATTAACCCCAGGTCAAGACTGCTCCACGCCAACTCTCCCCCAGCAGTCACCCAGTGTGGTGACCTGCCACAGCCCATCCCTGCAGGAGCCAGCTCAATCCTCGGGTGCTGCGACCCCCGGCACCTGGGGATCTCTGACTCAGACCTTTCCCAGCACCCCCACTTCAACCTTCGGCCTGCTCCCCGCTTTCTCTCAGCCTCCCACAGTGACCTCAGGACATAGGGCACATTCATTCTTTCATCTATTTACAGTTACTGTGTGCCATCCTTCACTCATTCCTCACTTACTGTGTACCCACATCCACCCATTCTTTCAGTTACCTAGGACCCCGGTCCATTCATCACCCTCTCACAGATAGTTATTGTGTGCCCACGACCATTCATTCAAAAATTCATTCACTCACATAGTTACTGTGTGCCCTGATTCATTCATTCATTCATTCATTCATTCATTCATAGTTACTGTCTTCCTTCCTTCCAAAACAGTTACAGTGGACCTAGAAGGTACTGGGTTTTGTTGGCAGTATGGCTCCCTCCCAGGACTAAGCAGCTCAGGAAAGCCAAACAGGAAACCCATCCTCTTGTGAGGGCTGAGGGGAAGTAAGGAATAAAGGAGTGGGCAGGTGAGGGAGAGTCCAGGAGCATGTTTGAGCCAAGTTTTGCATATTTAACGGTGCTGGCCAGTGAGAGCACTCCCGCTCACAACACAGGCACTGATGTCCTTCTTAGTTTCAAAACCCCCTAAAGCGGCGGTTGCCAACCGGTTTGCTGTGGCAGGCACACTGTGTGCTCCAAGGGTTTTTAAACCACGCAATACCTGACTTCAGTCAGGGGCAGTGATCTCTTTCCCCTTAGATTTTTGAATTAAAAAGTGACAACAGCCAACCCAACAATTGCTGTCCTGCGTGAATAAATCAAAATTATACCTTTTTTTTTTTGCCAGATGGGCAAAAATATTTTTTTTGTGTGCCACGACATGAAAAAGGTTGAAAATTGCTTCCCTAAAGCATCCAGGTCTTCAAACCTTCTCCTTGAAAGCCCCCACACCCTTGGCAGATCCCTTCCTGCTTCAATTTCCTGAGATGCAACCTGACTGACCCTTTGGGCATTAGCCAATGTTAGCATCTCCCCGCAAGCATTCCCCAGAATAACTTCCTACAGTGACTTGATCCCAAGCTGTGCAGCTTGCCAGGGCCAAGTGCCCCCATGGCGATCCCACCGCACACCCTGACTGTCCCAATAAGTTGCTATTCCAGTAGGCTCTACAGAACCCATCCCATGGGACTCCCTCTTCAGCCCTTTCTTGTCACCACCCTGGAGAAGGGCCCTGTGCGCAATTCCTTGCCCCAATCCCCCCCCCAGGAGATCAGCAGACCTGGATTTGCAGCCTGGCTTCAAAAGACCCCGGGGGGTGGGGTGGGGGGGGAGCTAATATACCTCCTCGACCTTCAGTTTCCACGTCTGAGAAATGGAGATGATAAAGGTCTCACCAAATATGCAGATGATGACAGTGATTACTAATTAGGCCTACCCAAGTGCAAACACCTCCCAGGGGAGGCTCAGCTTCTGCCAGTCCCTGTTTCAGGAGATGGAGACACGGAGGTGCCCAAAACCCCCACATCTATTTCTCAAGGACACTGAGAATGAAAAGGGACCAGCAGGGGCGGGACTCGGGGGTCTCCTCTGCAGGGGAGTGCCAATGCTGTGAGTCCCCTCAGGCCCCAAAGGCTTGTCTTATAGAAGTCATTGACTCACTTCATCGACAATCTCCTCAGCACCCCCAGGGTCTCTCTGGTGGGCCCAATAAAACAGATGTCCCTGACCACCTAACTCTTCTGGATCCTATAAAGACTCATGCCATTCCAGAACTTTCTCCAATTTCTGTACCCCACTCAGTAATAACCAGTAATAACCCATACCCTCCAGCTCCTCTGACTTCGATAATGCTCCTGTCTCACTCCGTGAGTTCCAAAGAGCCAACTCCAGCACTCACACGGCTTCTCATAATCCCAGTGGCTAGCCTGTAATATGTATGACCACCTCCAGGTGCCCGGCAACCCTGCCAGACCGTCCCCCCACCCCTCCCAAAACGTCTCTCACACAAGAGTTCCCCATGACCACCCCAGGCACCCCGTCTAGGGCCACGTACCGTTCCGCATGATTCCCAGCTCCTACGTGACCGTCTTGGACATCTCCCACTGACACTATAACCTCCCTGCGCCTTCTGAATTAGTACGACCCCTACAAAGTCCATTTCACACAGTAGCTCCCCAACGTGCCAGGGCCTCCCCAGAAACCCTGAAAGCAACCATATTACCCCCACCTCGAGGTCCCAGCTCCTCAAGCCACCCTCGCATAGCCCCCAGTGACCCTATGACCTCCCTGCACCTTCCGCCCTCGGGGCCCGGCAGCCGGCGCTCACCAACGGCACCACTCATACTGGTGCTCACGTAAGCCTTGCGGTGACACTCGGTGCCATCGGGAATGTCCCAGTACCGCTGTATAAGCCCTCGCGCCATGGCTAGACACGCCGAGCGCCGAACTACACAATTTGCAGCCCTCCGCAGCCAAGGGCAGCCTCCCGCTATCGCGAGACTTCCTGGGCGGCGCGCGCAGCATCCCTTGCGGAAGGGCCCGTAACCAGTGTGCAACTTTATTGAGTGCCGCCACCAGGGATACTGGCTGAGTTCACGCGCCAAGTTCGGAACTGGCGTAAAAGAAGAGAGCGTGTACCCCCAGTCGATTTCTGGAAGGGGAAACTGAGGTCAACGAAGATCAGTGAAGGCAGATTTCACTAGTTCTAGCTCAGAAGGTCCTAGGTTAGGAATGATCTGACTCAGGGAGGTGGGGCCTAACCTAGGGGCTGCACTACAATAGGTACTAGGCGTAACGCCAGGAACAGATTAGGGCTAGGACGGGGCGGTACTGAGCTTGACAGGAGGAAGAGGTAAGTGTGGGGCCGGGCACGGCCGGAATGCGGCCACCTCTCGCACCAGACTTTGTGTGGGGGCGTGGCCACGCACTGTAGCCCGTCCCCAAGTCGGAATCTGAACCGCGTGCAACTATTTTGGGGCGTGGCCAGGATCGGGGGTGGGGCTTAACGGGAAAGGGACCAACCCTAGAGCGGGGATCTTAAGAGGGACACGGCCAGTACCCAACTTGTGGTTTGTCCCAGTCCTGCTCCAGAGGAAGTACAGATTATGCTTGGGGGCGTGGCAAAGGCGAGAGACGGAATTTACAGGGAACTTGACTAACCCAGAGGTTGCCTAAGGGGTATGGACGAGGCCAATTGTGTGGATCTGGGAGAAGCACGGCCGATTCCAGAGACGTGTTCTGTTCAGGTTTGATCGGACGCAGAATCCGGACCAATCGTTGTTTTAGCTCTTGAGCAGGGTGGCCAATCGTATTGCCAGAGCCTGAACGAGAGCGTGCCGCCTGAGAAGAAGATTGGGCCCGAAGGGCGGAGTTTCGAGGTGCAGGAACCAGTCAGAGTGTTTGGGCTTGAGGAGGCACCACCCAGTTGGCTGCAGCCAATGGCGTCGAGGTTCTGAGCTGACCCCGGGGGGAGTGGCCCTTCCGGGCGGCTGGGGCCTGAACCACCGTGGGGGCTATGTCCGCCCCACCGCCCCTGCAGATCCGCGAGGCAAATGCACACCTGGTGGCCGTGCACCGGCGCGTCGCGGAGCTGGAGGCGCGGCTGGACGCGGCGGAGCGCACGGTGCGCACCCAGGCCGAGCGCCTGACCCACCACGACCAGGAGCTGCGCGCCGCCCTGGACGAGCTGGGCTGCGCCAAGGACCGGTGAGGCCGGGGGCCCGCCAGCTGCACTTCTAGGTGGAGGTGGGCGGAGGCGGAGTCGAGATGGAAAGGGAACGCTGGCAGGGGGAACTGGATGCATTCTCGTGAAGGCTGGACTACTGGAGGGATTGAAAAAGCAAACACCAAAAAACCTTGAATTAGTCATCCGTATATAAAGAGATGTCACACACGTGTGGATTTTTAACTTACAAGATTCCCACGAAGCAAAACCAGCTGGTACTGAGTGGTGCAGGGGCCACCAACCTCCAGGAGCAGATATTGGGAGCCAAGGCAGGTGCTTGAACAGAGGAGGATGTGATCTATCAGAAGTTTTGGAGTCTCTCTAGCAGTTGACAATTGAAAAGGATGAGACAAGTGCCCAAGGAGGTACTTGGGCCCAGGTGGGAAATAATTCAGAGCTGGTTGGATTCATTCATCTACACTGAGCACCTACTGTGTGCCAGACACTGCTGGGTACTAGGGCACGTCTACACAGCTCTGCCTTTAGGCAGACACATTACTAAGTGATTACAACATGGGGCGATCCGGGTTGTGATAGAGGTGCACACAGGGTTCTGAGAGGACGCAGATGGAAGGATTCCTGGAGGAGGAGCCATCTAAGCTGAACAAAACAGGAAAAGATGTAGGGGAAGAGGGAACTGCAGGAAGAACTGGGGGAGCAGAGCCAAGAGTTTGCATAGACTGGGCATTGTAAACAACAGACATTTATCATCATTCTGGAGGCTGGGAAGTCCAATACCAAGGTATTGACAAATTCAGTTCCTGGTGAGGACTCTTTCCTGGCTTCCAGATGGTCACCTTATTGCGTGCTCAGGGGAGCAGGTGGGAGAGCTGGGGAGGACAGAGAGCACTCTGTTGTCTCATAAGAGCGCCAATGTCATCATGAGGATCCCACCCTCATGACCTCATTCAACCTTACTTTCCAAAGGCTCCCACCTTCAAATATCACCCTGGGATGGAGGAATTCAGCATAGGAATTTGGAGATAACATGGGGAGGCCTTGAGGCAGTGGGGAGAAGGATCACCTTTAGCCTGACAACAATGGGGAGTGGCAGCCCCAGAGGTCACAAGTAGGGAGAAGAACCCGTCTGGTCCCCTGGTACCATTACTACCAAGTTTTGTTTTCCTGCCAGTGAGATTGCGGCTCTCCAGGAGCAGCTGCTGACCTCCGAGGCCACTGTCCACAGCCTGCAGGCTGCTGTGCACCAGAAGGACAAGCTCATCAAGCAGCTGCAGCCCCGGGCCGACCTGCTGCAGGACATGTGCCGCTGGCGGCCACCCCTGGCTGGGCTGCTGGCAGCCCTGGCTGGGGCCGAGCGCCTGGGTCCTCTGCCGGCCAGTGACCCTGGCCACCCACTCTCTGGCGAGTCCAGTTTACTCCTTGCCAACAGCACTGGGGAGGAGGGGGACGGGGACCACCTCCAGCCAGCAGTGTTTGGGACCACTGTGTGAGCCCCAGAGGAGATTGCAGAATGGAGACGGAGGATGCCTGTGGAGACTCCACTGCTGTGGGTGTCCTGGGGGGAGGGAGGGGTGTGTCATCACTGTGCGAGAGGGAACCTCCTACAGAGCCATAATCCTTTCTAAGCCCCAGACCTGCTAAAAAGTCAGGTTTCCAAGAGGCAGCCTGCAGACCAAATGAAAAATGTTTAGCCAAGACATTTTTTAAAAAAATGAACCAATTATCCTTGTTGAAAAATTGGTGACATTTACACACAAAAATCTGGATATCCGGCTTCAGACTTGGCCATGCCTACTGGATGTGGACCCAGAATACCCTCCTTAGCCAGATAGTGAATTACTAATTAGTGCCCTCATCTCTCCTAGGGCCAGATGTCTGCACCCCCTGGCATCTGAGTTTGAGACCTGTCTTTGTCTGGTAGTGGCAGGTGACAAAGTTCCACATCATTAGACTTTTTCTCACCCCCTACCCGCCGCCCTGGTTTTTGTCCTTCCTGGAGAGAGGCATTCTCCATCCCAGGCTAAAGCTTTTTCTTACTTCATCCCAGACCAGACTTAAGAGCTTCAAGCTCCATGCCGTTTGCATTAGTTATTTTGAAGACAAATTTTAAATCCTAGATGTTCTTTTCCTAATTCTGTCCTCTACCCTCAACCTTTAACCCAGAGGGCAGTGTGTGGGGCGTGTGAGTGCTGGCAGCCGGGCCCTGCCACCCGGGAAGACTCAGGCACCCCTTAACCTTTTCATCATGTGCTGCCTCAGGGCCTTTACATTGGCTGCTCCCTCTGCCTGGAATGCTCTTCGCCTGGGTGTCACATGACCGCCTGGGTGTCACATGACCGATTCCTTGTCACTCAGGTCTTAGCTTTGATGGCACCTCCTCAGAAAGGCCTTCCCTTGACTGCCTGAGTTACTCCCCACCCCTGGTCACTACCACTGCATTTATTTTCCTTTATGGAACTTCTTACCATCAGAATGTGAGGTCCACGAGGGCAGAGTTTTTGTCACCGGAGCCTGGTGCACCCCAGGCCCTGGCAGGAACAGGACGGGTCTGTGGGCCCTGAAGGGAGTCAGGTCCCCAACACTTCTGATGCGCCCCCACCCCGCCCCCACTAGTCCAGCTTTTGTAGCAGGCAGCTGGCTCCTTTTTTATAGTCCCCAGAGAATCTATTTTTTTAACTCCTTTTTTTCTACACTGCCCTCTCTTGGCCTGAGACATTCAGGCAGTTTCGCTTTTTATCAAACCAGGGGACTCCCACACCTTAGCCCACTCAAGTGCCCAGCCTGAGCTGTTTTCCCACCTCCTCACTCAGGAAATTGTCACACCAGGAACTGCCGTGGGGCAGGGCCTATTTCAGCCTGGAAAGGCTGGCGTCCACCGACATCCTCAGGACGGAGCCGGCTGTGGGCCCGGCATCTGACCCCTCCGTGTGTAACAATAGCCCTATTTTTCTCTGGATAAGAAAGCGGGGCTGTTTGTCTGAGGGAAGGCAGGCTGGGGCCTGTTGGCTCAAGAATAAATGGGGTGACTTGTCCACCTTGGTCCTTCCTTTCTTCCATGTGAGGGTGCTAGGGAGGTGGCCCCTGCGTGGGTCGTGGTCCAGGGAGCAAGGGCTTGTCCTAGTCACCGGAACTTGTGCCACAGGCAGTCTACACACACACGAACACACATGACTAATGTTGGCAGCCACCCATGGACACAGGCTGCCCCATTTCACAGCTGGGAGAGTGAGGCTCAAAGGCAAAGTGAAAAGGCCTCTGGGTCAGGAGGGCCTGGGCCACTACCAATTTATGGAGGAGTTATTGTTAAAGGTGTCAAACAGCTATCATAATTGTGGTCAGATTTTACATTTTCTATGGAAAAAAAAATCGATGCTTGTAACACTTGTTAAAAAATGCAGTATTTCTCTGCCCACCCAAAGAATTTTGAACTACAATAAGCCATTGGAGTTTGCCCAGAATGGCACTGGCTTCTCAGAGCTGACAGTGTGACATCAGCCATGGCTTGAATTGCAGCACTGGGTCGGTCACCATCCGTGATTAGCTTCCTACAGCAGCAGAGACTCCTGCGCCGGTCCCTGTGCTGTGTGCAAGACCGTGCTTTGAAAAACCTGATGATCTCTGGGTCTGTGCAGGCGGGGAGGTCCCCAAGTGGGAACCACATTTTCAGTCCTGGGAGGGAGATCAACCTTTTTTTTGATCCTGCTGGTTAGTGTAGTGCTCTCAGTTGGCAAAGTTGTCCCAAAGTCTGGATCGAAGACCATCTGTAAGGGTGGCCTTGGTTCCTCTTGGATTGTGTCACAGGGCTCAGGGCCTCTTCTCTGTTCGGTAACTCCCCTCCGAGTTGCAGCCCCAGCTCACCAGCTTGTCACAAGAAAGCCCATCAAATGTTTGAGAACTGAAAACCAACCACTGAAAGACTCATACAACAAAAAACACTGTAACTAGCCCCTAAATAAGCACCAGAAACTGCTTTGTGGGTCTTCACTCTGCTGTGTCCTGACTCAAGCTAGCACTGGCCTCAGGACGTCCCACTGGGTATGAGCCTGGGCCACCTCCAGTCCTTTTGAACTCAAATCCCTCAGCAGCTTTGGCTGCTGCCCTGTGAAAAGGGGTAGGGGGCCTGACTCAGGTCACATAGAAACTGGGCCTTGAGCTTCCTTCCATCCAGGACACTGGCCCCCACAGGCTCACCCCTGTGGCTCACCCCTCCTCACTGTGACCAGAAAGAAACCCCACTGCCTGCCCTGGGCCTGGCTCTGCAGCGCTGGGCAGGGCATGAGCAGCAGGGTGGGGGCGGCGGTGCTGGTGACGGTACTGCTGTGTCTCCTGGCCTTGCCTCCCAGCAGTGTCAGGGTTACAGCTGGGGCCCCTCCCAGTCTCCAGAGCCACTGTCCCTTAGCAACAATCCTACCAGGCAGAACACACTGCCAACACTGGACAAAGCAGGCAGGAGTCAGCAGAGTGGCCATCGGGAAAGCTCCAGGACAGACAAGGCCAGGTTAGTGAGTAGGGGGCAACCAGTGTGGAGCCTGGCCGGCCGAGTGGGCAGCCTGCTTGACCTCTCTCTCACCCAACTGCCCAGAGAGCCTGGCACTAGCATGGACACGGTGGACACCACTATGGAGAAGCTCCGGGAACAGTGCCTGTCCCGAGGGGCCTCTGGCATCCACAGCCTGGCCAGGTGAGCTGTCCTCTCACTCCTCCCTGACACTCAGCTCCAGGGACCACTCTCCAACTGTACTCCTTGCTCCCCAGGTTTTTCCGCCGCCTGGACCAGGACAAGAGCCGATCCCTGGATGCCAGGGAGCTCCAGCAGGGCCTGGCCGAGCTGGGGCTGGCGCTGGACATGGCTGAGGCGGAGGGCGTGTGCAGGCGCTGGGACCGTGATGGCAGTGGGACGCTGGACCTGGAGGAGTTCCTGAGGGCACTGCGGGTGAGGCTCAGCTGTCCGGGTGCAGGTCCCTTCACCCAACTGTCTGGGGGATGGTGGGTGCCAAGTGCCCAGGGGGCTTACCTGTGTCAACACCCAGGGACTTATCACTAAGAGATGCCGGAGGACTCCCTGAGCTCTGCATTCCATGCCTGGAGTTGAGGTCCCTCAGTCTTCACCCTCCCCGCTTCAGCCCCCCATGTCCCAGGCCCGGGAAGCAGTCATTGCAGCTGCATTCGCCAAGCTAGACCGCAGTGGAGATGGTGTGGTGACTGTGGACGACCTCCGGGGGGTGTACAGCTGCCGTGCCCACCCCAAGGTGCGGAGTGGGGAGTGGACTGAGGAGGAGGTCCTCCGCCGCTTCCTGGACAACTTTGACTCTTCTGAGAAGGATGGGCAGGTAGGTGCCGGTGGGGCACTCGCAGCTCCTGTTGCCCTGGCTGTCCATACTCACTCAGGGCTTGTCTGCCCCCAGGTCACCCTGGCCGAATTCCAGGACTACTACAGTGGTGTGAGCGCCTCCATGGACACAGATGAGGAGTTCGTGGCGATGATGACCAGCGCCTGGCGACTGTGAGTGGTACACTCACTCAGCCAGCCCACCCAGTGGCAAACAACCCCCACCATGGCACCGGAGCATCCAGCTGGGCAGCCCCAGGGGTGGGGGCTGGGTGGATTAGTAAGGCCACTGAACCGGTTGGACCAGGTCTCAGAGGCCCTTGCTTGGTCGTGAGGACCAAGTGGAACAAAGGCCCCCACGCTTCACGAGGCTACTGCTGATGCCCTCCCCCCTCGAGCTCTGTTCTGTTCAGTGAATCCTTGGCCTGTCGTGCCCCACTGTGCCCCTCTCTTGTGGTCCCTGGGAAGCCAGGAGGACCCTGGCAGGGTGTGAGAACGCAGTGGGGGTGGGCGAGAAGCCAGGCTCTGCACCGAAGTGGCAGGGCTTGGAAGGCAGCTGAGTTTGGTGGCCTGTCCAGGCGTGGAGTGTGGGGTCGGGGCCCAGGGCACCAGGCAGGCCAGGCTGCTCGAGGAGCCTTGCCTGGGAGGCAGAGACCTTTCCTGCCCAGGCCCCGGGGCTTCCTGATGCCCCTGGGGCACACAGGAGGCCAGGGTGTTTAGTTAAAAGATTTAATGTAGTTCCCAAATACATTTCATATGACAATCTTACATAAATGTTCCAAAACACATGGGCATTATCTGGTTTTACTTGTCACTAACTGGCTAAGGCGTAAGCAGAGAAAGGTGACCAGATCTGCTGGGGGCCTTTGGTGTCTTCCCACGGCTCAGGCTCGGGCCACACACGGCTGACCCAAGGTTTTGGTGGCACAGCTATGGAAACTAAGCCTTCTCCCTCCCCATGAGGGTGGGGCTGGGCAATTTCTTCTGCAACCCCTCAGGGCCCTGTGTACAGGGAGGGACCCTCTCTGCAGGCAGGCAGTGCCCAGCCAGGCTCTCAGCCCTGCTCTGGGGCGGGGGCACAGTACCTGCTCCTGTGTGTGCTGGGACAGTGGCCTGTTGTCTGGAGCCGGGCCCCGCCCCTCCTCAAGAAGGTGCTGCTAGGGACTTCCTCTGCCTGTCACGGAGGACCCAAGCCCTGGACGTCTTGGGTGCGGTGATGTCCAGGGCTGGGAAAGAAATGGCCAACAGCAGGAGGCAGGTGTTTGCCCAGGTGCCTGATGATGGGTGACCCACATGACGGGGACAAGCAGGAGGGGAGGGGTGCTGACGGCTTCGTCATCAGCGCCCATGGGAAACAGTGGCCTTGCCATCAGGTCCCCCATTCTGGAAGACACCCTATGCCCAGGGACGCCTCCACACCAAAACGTCACCCTTGGGCCCACTGCAGTGGGTGTGAGAGGACCCAGGAAATCAGCCCCTCGTGCCCTCGCAGATCCAGTGGCCCTTTTCTAGATAAGTTCTCTCCAGGCATGACGCCTGCCCCATGAACCCCATGCCACCCTGGAGGAACCCCAGGTGAGGTGCAAGGGGGGGCCTCTCCTCCCAGCTCCTCGGTGAGGCCCCAGCACACAAGCCGTTACCACGGGGAGAGCCAGGTGCTGGAGCCGCGCCTGCTCAACACATGGGAGCACCGTAACCTAAGAGACAAAGCCTTGAGGGAGGGGGATTCAAAATACACACCCCAAACTGGAAGGGGGGAAACGAGATCAAAATAGCAGGACGTCCAGCAGAGCCAGTGTTTACACTTGTGGGGACAGACCTGGTGGCTGGGCAGGTGGCAGGAACCCACAGGTGTGGTGGCGGCAGGAGAGGGGTGAAGAAACCAGGCGTCCCAGTCCCAGTGAGAAGCCGTGACAAGTCTTAATGTGCCATTTCAATTCAAAGGGGGGAGGGAAGAAATGTTCTTTTTGTTTTGCTCATCAATATGATGAGGTCTCGTGTCCCAAACCGCGCTCAGGCAGTTCCCAAGTCTGCTTCTGAACGGGCCGTGCGGATCCGGACTGTGGCCGACCCATCAGGGAGTGTGGTTCCCAAGTCCCGCGCCTCAACACTGCCAGGGAGGGGCGGGCGGGCGGGTGGACAGACGGACAAAGCAGCAGGCTCCCGGGCGGCCAGCTCCCGGCGCTATGTGCTCCCAGCCGTCTGCCCGTCCCCTTCGTCACCAGCACCTGTGGGAAGCAGTGGCCTTGCCATCAGGTCCCCACTCTGGAAGGCACCCCCACCCCCCAGGGTCAGGTCTCCACACCAAGGTGTCACCCACGGTCAGTGGCAATGGGTGACGGGATTTAGGAAACCAGCCACCTCATGCCCTTCAGAGCAGGGACTGCTGGCTCACCGCCTCCTGTGGCCCCCGATGGAGCCAGGACATCGTCATCGTCACTGTCATCCTCGTTGGATGGGGCTGCACCAGGTTCGGGGGCAGGTGTTCTGGCCTCCTGTTCCTGTTCCACACGGCTGCGCAGGGCCAGGATGCGGTGGTGCAGGGCTGCATACAGCTGGCCCGTGTCTTTGGAGCTGGCCTGGTGGGGCCCGGTGGGTGGAGGAAGTGCTGGTTACAAGGCCTCATGGGGAGACCCCCTGGGGCTCTCCTCAACCTGGGGACCACAGCCCAAAGCTTCCACAGCCCAGGGGCATACCCAGAGGCTTCCCTGCTTCCTCCCTGGCCCATGCCCTCAGGGCAGTGCTGAGTGCTCCCCTGCAGAGGGGCGCCCATCCATCCAGCCCTGTAGTGACTGCATGTGACGGGGGTTGCCTTCCTGTGGTGGCTCGGCATCGCTGCCCCACTCTGGGCAGCCCAGCCTGCAGGCAGCTCACCGAGATCAGGAAGACCTTCACGCCCTGGTCCTCGGTGTCCATGGCTGTGATGCGAATGCTCTTCTCACTGGCCTTGTCGATCTGCATCTGGGCCCACAGCTTGGTGTTGAGGATCAACCGCAGACTACCCTGGGTCCGCATCACTGCAACCAACAAGGCCACTCAGCCCTGGTCCCCAAGCCCCACCCAAAAGCCAGCTAGAACAGACACAACTTGGAAGGAAAGCAAACCCCAAGGGCAAAATCCCACACTTCTCAACCAAGGTCCACAAAAACCACCCACCTGTCCACTGAGCTACAGCCACCCACATGCTGGGGTTGGCCGGGTGCCACAACCTGGCTTCCCGGGCCCAGAACCACTAAGGCCACTGGTGGGGTCAGAGCCCACGTGTAAGAGTGTTTTGTTGGTTCACACGTCATGTGTCAGGACGGCAGCTCCCTTGTGGAAGGGGGTGATCAGGCAGAAGCAGGAGGCAAACTACAAGGAGGCAGAGCCAGACAGGGACATTCCCAGGCTGCACATCGGGGACACTCACACTTTATGTGACACGTGTCACACAGAAGTCGATGCCCCCTCACAGGCCAAGTCCAAGCCCCTGCCCTGTGGAGACCTCCCTGACCAGTGTGGCTCGGTTGGTTGGGCACTGTCCCACAGAGCAAAATGATTCGATTCCTGGTCAGGGTGCACGTGAGAGGCAACCTACAAGTGTTTCTCCAATCCACGTTTCTCTCCCTTTCTTTCCCCTTCCTTCCCCCCTCTAAAACCTTAAGAAAATATGGTTGAGGCCACAGTGTGCTCAGAGCTTCCAACGGGAAGGAGATAAACAGAATGAGGGAAGCATATGGCAGAGAAAAACCTGGGCACAGACCTTCCCTCTCTGGATGGACACGTGACACTCCCAGTTCTAACCGTATCAAGTCCAAGGCCACAGTCAACCTGCTCGCTTGTCAGAGCCCTCCCAGCCCACCCATGCCCTCACCCCATGGACATGGGTGACCCTTGCCTGCCTGCCAGCCCAGCTTTCCCCATTGGAACAGGCCTGGAGAGGATTAGCTGTCATGCCACTCTGGGCCATGGAGGGCCACACAGGACAGGGAGCAGCTTGGGGAGCCCTGTGGGGTCCTGGGCCCCTGCTGACTGCGTCCTCTGAGCCCATCTTGCAAGCCCGAAGTGCCCACCTCTGAGGCAGCAGAGCAATTTAGACGGGCTTGGAGGGAAGGGCTGTGACAAGCATCAAAGCCTGGGGGCGTGGAGGGGGGTGAAAGGAAAGGGTGCCCGGGGTGGATCTCAGCGAGGGAGGCGAGGGCGTGATGCAACAGAGCGGGCCCCAGGCTGCAGCCCGAGGAGGCGGGTGCTGAGCGGTGGGGCTGGAAACACTGTGCTCTCTCCGTCCACACACACTCGAACATTTCCCTAAGAAAAACGGAAAAGAGACGTCCACGGGGGAAGAGAATGGCGCCCAAACAGAAGGGCCTTCTTCATCCCTGTTCCAATCTTGGGGTCCCTCCTACAAGGATGCAATGTGAGCTACTGCTGGGCCTGAAACTGCTGTCTCTGTAAGGGCCAGAGGACGATTTTAGTTTCGGAAGATTACACACACACACACACACACACACACACACACACACACACACTTCTGCAACCAGCATACTGCTGGGAATAAAATTCATGAAGAGACAGCCCCACAGCATCATTCCTGACAGAAAAATCAGGGACAAGCTGCATGTCCATCACTGGGAAACATAACACACACTCACTGTCAACAGACATGTTACTGTAACAATTTCCCAAACAGTCGCGGTTTTAAGACAGATTTACTGACACGGCAACGTGCCCACCACACAGCGAGCGGAAAGAGCAGAGTACAAAGTCACCCCATTTCCCTAAAGAAGGACCACAGAGCAGGAGTGGACTGCCACAGCACTGTTGGTAGAGAATTCTCTCTTTATAAAGACACTGCTGTTGATGTTCAATTTCTTTTCCCATTCTACCATAAAACAGTGGGCACTTTCATGATCAGAAAATAAATGTAAAAATTGCTACGTACTTTTATCCACTTTCAAACCCAGAAAGTGGCAGAGCTGGCGGCTGGATCCTCTGGGTCAGACCTGAGTGTGGATACTGGGGGCTCTCCCGTGGGGACCCGCTTTCCTGCTCCTTGGGTTGAGGGGTCGATTTGGGGCCTCGTCCTCCACCACCGTGGGAGCTCTGCACCAGTCCAGCCCCCTGCCCCAGGGGCCCACCATGGCTCACCTAGTCGGGACTGCAATGTCCCATCATCAGTCGATGCCATGTCGTTGAGTCTGAGCAGCCCCCGGCCCCTCTCCACCCAGGACTGAGAGGTCTTGTCAAAGACAAACAGCTTACACTGGATCTGGAACACAGGGCGTCCCTCTGGGTGAGCGGGGCCCTGGCTGGAGGGAGCCATTGCCGAGAGGCTCCTGGGAGCCTCCATCTAAATCCCGTGAATTACCTGGGTCACTACACTACACCCTGGGGCACACATTGGGCACTTGGCCAGTTTTCAGTTCTGCCCTCCAACTAGAGTGGATTTTACACTTTTAGAGGGAGGGCTATTTAAAAAATTAAGGAAATGCAACCCAGAACCCACACAAGGAGAAACTTCACAGTCATTGGGATGGCTACAAGCAAATGGACAGATGGTAACAGGTATTGGAGAGGACGGGGAGAAGTCAGATGCCTCATGAACTGCTGGCAGCTGCCACGGGAAGCAGTTCCACGAGTGCTGAACACGGCGTGGCAACACGGCCAACAATGCCACTCCTGAGTGCCCACCGGCAGCAATGAGCAGCCGTTTGCACAAGAACTCGCACATAAATGTTTAGAGCGGCAGGATTCTATCACAGCTAAAACGTGGAACAACCCAAGTGCCTGCCAACACAGAGGAATAT